GATGGCCCCGCCCCTCCCTGAGCCTGGTTCTGCTGGAGGTTTCTTCCTGTTAAAAGGGAGTTTTTCCTTCCCACTGTCGCCAAAGTGCTGCTCACAGGGGGTCATATGATTGTTGGGTTGGGGTTTTTTTTAAATTTTTTTTTATATTATGGTAGGGTTTACCTTACAATATAAAGCACGTTGCGGCGACTGTTATTGGGATTTGGCGCTGTATAAATAAAATTTAATTAAACTGAATTGAATTATAGGATCACTTAAACCTGAACACCAAGTTAGGCATACAGGACTTAGTGCTTGGTAGCCACTAACCAATATCTGTCTACGATTTTGTGTTGGTAACAAGGTAACCCAGCTCCTTATTTTGTCAGTGCTACAGATTTTCCAGATCTTGTTGGCAAATTTTTAGTTGCTTCGTTGTCAGAATCATAATCTTATTCAAGTTGTGTGCTATCTGTAAAATGGCATGTCTCACCTTGACTTCTGTGTTACTAAAGCTAACAGCTAACTCTTGTGTGTGGCAGACTCTCTGTGTGAGGCGTTAAAAGCTATTAGTGTGAGTACAGAGCTGATTGAAGAAGAGCTCAAGCCTCATTTGGATACAGTGCTGGCTGCGCTGCTAGAAAAGAGTAAGTCATATAACACACACATCCCAGGACGTTGATTCTGTTCATCTGGACGTTTTCAGTGGGAAACATTTCTTCAGTCTCAGCTGACTCCAGGTTTCTCCAACCTTATCAACAGTACCTTTGGATAATGGCTGAAACTAGCACCACTAGGCCATGATCATTAACATGCAAATTGTCATAAACATTGATCAGTGGCCATGAGTACCATTCACAGAGAGTGGAGAAATGTTCATGCATGAAGACATTTTAACCCACTTTGAAGAGGACTGCCTAAAGCTAGTACGTGAGTACGAGCAAACGGCACGAGAGATGGCTGACTACAGCTGCCACCAAAACAGGATTACTCCTAAAAGTCTGCAACTGGGATCTTCAGTTAAGGGCCTGCGCAACAAAAGTCCTCCAGAAGGCAAAGATCCAGCTGTTCGGTGAGCATATGAGACAAACTCCTTTTACTCTGGTATCCTACCCTGCACACCGCCCAGTCATTGGTTCGGGTATGTGGATGACACCTGGGGGGGAAATCAAATTTCAGGACGTGCTGAGTTCACTGATCACATTAACTTGATCGATAAATGGCAGGTTAGCCTTAAGTTACGAGCACTACAGAGGGTTGTGCAGTCAGCTGAGCGCACCATCCGCTCCGAGCTCCCTGACCTGCACTCAATCTACAGCAGGCGGTGCTGGACCAAGGCCAGGAAGATGGTGAAGGACCTCAGCCATCCCAACAACAGACTGTTCTCTCTGTGAGGTCAGGAAAGCGATTCCGCTCCCTGAAGACCAACACAGAGAGACTGAGGAGGAGCTTCTTCCCGCAGGCGATACGGTCTCTCAATCACACCACCACACAGTACTGACCCACACATGGTTCTTACACACACACTGGACTTTCTGGACATTGTTTTCACTTCATCACTTAAATCACTTTAAGCATATTTGCACTGCACAAGACATAATGTGGATTGCACAACACTGGTCACTATATTCTTCATTTCCAGTTAATACTTGTACAGCTGCTGTTATTGTGTATATTATTTATTTATTATATTTCTTCATACATTCTTATATAGTTCTATATTGTGTATTTTGTTGTACAGTTATTTTATTTTCAACTTTAATTTATATATTTTATCTTATTCTTCCCAGTTAAATTTACCCTTCATTCTAATTTGTGTTGTACAGTTATTTCATTTTTAACCTTAATTTATATTTTATTCCTTCCTAGTTAAATTTACCCTTTTTAATTTTTCATATTTATTTCCTATCTTATTCATAGCCTTTTCTTTTTTTCTTTAGGTCACGAGCAGTTGTCCAAGCATTTCACTGCATATCGTTGGTATGCTGTGTACGTGACAAATAAAATTTGAATTTGAATTTTCGTAGATTTCCATCAGTAATGGGAGACATTTAAATTAATGAGTGACCGTAAACCTACACATACGGATCAGTATTTAAGGTTTGACTCTCATCATCCATTGGAGCACAAACTAGGTGTCATCAGAGAGGAATGCCATCCCCACAGACAAAGCAGTAGGGGTGGGGGAAAAATCGATACTGTGTAGTATCGTGATATTTTGTATCGATGCAGGGACGGCAGAAATCGATATTTTGTTACAAAAAGGTTTTTGTGCTCTGACTTCAGAGCATGTTGATCCTTTTTCTGAGCAAGAATCCTGACACTGTCCAAATGTGTTTAACTTGTTTTTGGCAGCAATAAACATGACAGTTTACTTATTTTAATTTAAGACATGTTTTATTTTAATTAAGTTTAAAACTTTTTTATTTAATGTAAAATTATATTTTGTTTTAATTTACTTTCAAATTCTTCAGTTGCTGAAGGGGCTGCATAGTTTTCATAAATTGCATAGTTCAGAATAGCTTAATTGTACCAGATGGTTGCATTCAGTTAAGTTGGACTAGACTGTAATACAAACCGTTCAGTTTGTCAACAATAAGACTGAGTGCGAGACTTTGATATTAGATAAAATGAATATTGATAAAGTTTACCTTTATGTACAGAATCTGAATATCACAAAATATTTTAAAAAATTGCAATAATATCGTATCGTGCATTAAGTATTGTGATAATATCGTATCGTGGGATGTATGGTGATTCCCACCTCTACAAAGCAGCCAGGGAAGCAGAAGAACATCATATCAAGAATGTGCTAAGTGAATGTCGTTATCCCAGTTTTGACTAATATCCAACTGGGAAGGCACTTGAAGAAAGCTCCAGACGACCGAGGAGAGATGGAAGCGAAAACCTTTAGTGACCCTTTATGTGTCAGGACTATCGGAACAGCTGAGACGCATTTTCACAAAACACCGGTCCACCCCGAAGATCGGGTCCTCTCGGCACAAACAGAGTAACATGGTGTATGCTGTTAAGTGCCAGGAGGATTTCCAGGATTTATACATCGGGGAAACCAAACGACCTCTGGCAAAGCAGATGGCACAGCACAGAAGAGCCACCTCGTCAGGCCAAGGGTACATCTGTCACCATCTTACAATGCTGTGATTGCAGCCTTTCCCCAACTCTCTGTGAACGGGACTCATGGCCACTGATCAATGTTTATTGAGTTGTGACAATTTGCATATTAAAGATCATCAAACTGACCTCACGGCTCATTGTTAGTCAGTGGTGCTAGCTTCAGTCACTATGCAAATGCACCGTTTCTAAGGCTACGTGCACACTGCATCGTTTTCTCTCTGCTTTGGTCTCCCGTCCACACTGAGGCGGCGTTTTCCTCAAGGAAAACCGCAGCGTTTTCAAAACGCTCTCGAAAACGCGGACTTTCTAAAATGATGACACATTTTAGTCATCTGATGCAGTCAAGTGACCAATTAAAGCTAGCGGAGGGCATTATACAGCAGTTGTTTTGATTGCTCTCAATTTTGACAGCCCTGTTTAAGATTAATATCAGTTTGCATGCTCCAGATAGCTTTTCTTGAAATTCTCACTCGCTTTTGTGCATGCGCAGGACTGGAACGCTTTGGGCCGTTTCAGTGTGGACGCACAACTCTGTGAAAACGACTGAAAACACTAGTGTGGACGCGGAGCGTTTTCAGACGCTTTTCAAATCTATCTGGGCTAGTGTGGACGTAGCCTACGGTTGGAAACCTGCAGTCAGCTGAGACTGAAGAAGTCCCCCAGCTGAGTGCTGAAACAACGCTTCGTCCAGATGAACAGAATCAACTTTTTGAGTCACTTTTCAACTAACATCACATATTGCACAGTGAATTTTATCATTCTAAATGAACGGACTTTTGCATTCACAGAGAAAGATGCTGCTATCGACGTTGCCAAAAGTGGGATTCTACCCATACTGGCTCAGGCCCTACAGAGAAAAAGCAGTCTGAGCTGCCAGGTGGCTTTGGTGGTGGCAGAGATGGCCCGAGAAGGTAGAACACTTGAATACTATAAAACTGGGTGTGCTTCATAAAACAGTTTGTACAGTATAAGCTTCCTTATTTTGTCTTGTCTCATGTTCTCTTTGAAGAGCTTTAGGATTCTACAAGGTCCTTAAAACCAGTTTAACTCATTTTAAGGACCTTGTACAATGTTTATTTTTAATTACAATAATTATTAAATATCAAATAAAAATATATTGCAGTGTATAAGGAAACATTTTTATCCCTTTTAAGTAACTTAAAGCCAGTATGTGTAGGATTATACAGATGAAGCCACTTTAGAAAACGTCCAAACTGGTTTAGTTTAGTGCCACTTTCAACTTACTGGGTTGACGTTTTATCTGTACGAGGTTGTTGTGTTTTTTTTAATATTATTTCTGATATGAAAAAATGCACTTAAATTCCACACAGAGTGGCTGAAAATGTGATGCTTTTAAAAAATGCTTATGCTCCAGTGATGCGTCATGAGACTAAAACACCAGGTTGCTTCATAGCTGTTGAGTAACATATGCAACATAGCATTTAAAATATACCAGCGTTTACAAGGTTTAATGTCCTTGCATGTGTTGTAGCTGCAGTGAGGGAGCCATGCATCGAGGCAGGCCTGGTGAAGGTGTTGGTTCCCCATCTGAACAGCGATAACCAAGAAATGCTGCTGAACTCTGGCAGGGCCATCGGGCGCATCTGCTTTGACAACTGTGAGTTGGTGGGACACTGCTGGCTCCGTCAGCAGGGCGTTCTCAGTGTGCTGATGAGTCTGATTTCTTTTGAAGGCTACAGAGAGTGACAGATCTTAATTCCAGCCTCAAACTACATGATATTCTTGTCATGGTAACTACATCATGCAACTACAGATCAGTCATGCAAGCTGCTTTCAGAACATGTTTCCTAGATGCAGCGTTGCTTTGCATCCATTATTGCACTATGCAAGATAAAATAACTGCATGATGCCTATTTTTGTTCCTGGCTGCCAAAACTGTCCAGATCCTGCCATAATCGGACTGATATAGCGTGAAATGTTATATAGGAGCTAACTTATGCTTTGAAATATGTGAGACTGTCGCCATAAAAGCAGGCACACAGTCAACAACATTACACAGGGTGAGCTGGAGCATTCAAAGCATGGTTAACTGGTGTAGAGTAAGCCTGGCAGTACACTGTCTTAGTGTACTAGTTGCTATGGAAGCCCATTTCCGCCACTAGGAAAAAAAAAGGGATCCATAACTCAAAATTTCGAGTTACTTTCTCGAAATTTCGATTTATTAACTCAAAATTTTGAGAAAAGCAACTTGAAATTTCGAGTTAGCGCTGCCAATCAGTAATCTACGTGAATGACTTCATTTCCTCGTTACCCGGAAGCTGAAGCCCTCAGCTACAAATGCTACAGCTAAGCTACCGGTATTACATCCAGTCGAAGCACAGATTGCTGAGTGTTTTCAGCCTGGCTTCACAAATGATGAAATCCCTGTGTTATTAGCTGAATCACATGGTGTTACTATCAGCAAACGTACTCGCGAAAGCGCCAATTTGTTGGGATCCGTTTTTGAGTGCGCGTTCCTCTGCGCCATATGCTTCCGGGTAACAAGAAAGCGACCTCATTCACGCATATTTTTGATTGGCAGAGCTAACTCGAAATTTTGAGAAAAGTAACTCGAAATTTTGAGTTATGGATACTAGCTGTTTTGTTTTTATTTAGTGGCGGAAACGGGCTTCCATAAGTTGCTGTGTCAAAACAAAAAAGAGTCTTGTAGCAGGTTGCATGTTTCCAGTCTTCAGCGTGCCATGCTTCTGTTCGTGGCTGGGAGGAGCTGATATGATCTGCTGCTGTAGTCTTCTCATTCTCCTCCAGCTTTTCACAACAAGACATTTGCATCCATATTGTAATGTTGTATAAAGCACTTTGAATACTAAGGTAGAGTGGAAAAGAGCTCGATAAGAACCAGTCCGTGTACCACAGAACTGCCTCTCATTAAACGCTTAGAACTTGTCAGCATCCTGAGAAAAAGCTCTGAGATCCATTTTTTAACAAAATGATAAAAATGGATATCTAGAGGTCTCTCACTTTATTCCTTAACACTTATCTCTGTCTCCTACCTTTTTTACCTAGCATACCAGCAGGACCAGTTGGTCCAGAGTGGTGTAATCCCCAGACTCGTTTCCATAATGAGGGCGTATCCTGACAACGATCCACTGGTCAACGTCTGTCTGCTGGCCTTGTGTAACCTGGCAGACATGGGTGATTATTTACTATTTGTATTAAGTGCTGTTAGATGTAGTTTGATCGTCAGTGCTTTAGTGATTACACATGTTCTTTACAGCTACAGCATTGCCTTTAATTAATGTGCCTGCAACCAGTGTTGGGTAAGTTACTTTTTTAAAGTAATTCATTACTAATTACTTAGTCAATATTGTATTTCAAATACTTATCTAATTACTGTGTCTGAAAAGTAACTTCATTACTAAATAAGTAATTTAACCAAATACTTCTTAGAATCCCTCTAAACCTCGAGTGGCAGACGATAGAAATTAAACTCTTTAAATAATGAATAAAGACGGAGACTCTGCAGTACGCAGCGGCAGCATCTCTTCCACAGTGTAGCCTGCAGTCGTTTTTAAGCTCACCTTCAGACGCTTTCTGCGCTGCTGAAGTAAAATCAGGTTTTGCTGCCTAGCGGGAGTTGCCGCGGTGTTATCCATGGATGATGAACAAGGATCGCTCAGAAGTGTTCGTCTATGCTCCGTGTCAGGCGCTTCAGTAGAGGACTCGTGCTATGAACAGCAGCCCATAGTTTTTACATATTACTGTAATGTTCTTGTCTGCTCGTTTCAGAAAAGTGAAGAGACGGGAATATGTCCACCTCAAAAAACAGCCACTCACTTCAGTCCGACAGCTTCCGCTGTAGAAAACGACTGTGCAGCAAACCGGTGTGAAATGACGCGCAGCTGCACTACAGCCATGTTAAAGCAGCAGAGTTTACTTCTACGTTTAGAAGACAAATGATTGAAATCAAATATTCAGCCAGTTTAATTATTTTACCATGTAACGCAAGTACATTGTAAGTAACTGTAATTGAAATACCTAAAAATGAACAGCAATCAGTTACTCTACTCTTTCAGTGGAAAAGTAACTTAATTGCAGTAACGCGTTACACCCAACACTGCCTGCAACCCTAAAAATGAAGCAGGGAGGGTTTTCTTTTGTGAGCAACATGCCAGAGATAAATGGCTGACGCAGTAAATACTTTGTCACTCACTGTGGTAACCACGTCAGGCCAGAGTAATCTTTTTACGCCTTTTAACAGAAGAAAGCATTTAGCATTTGAGTTTAGCCATGCTTTAGCACTCGAACTACTCAACAAACTGTACGTTACAAATGTATTGGTATTAATATAGCATGCACCTGGAGAGATTTAGGGTTCAGTATCTTGCTCAGAGCACTGACCTGTTGAACTGCTCTACCTCCTTAGCCACAGTTCTTTTTAGCTACTGTGATCTAATGGGGTGACTAATTACAGCTTACACAGTTAACATATCCAGGTGTCCCAGAGGAGAGGTGGGCTAATGCTTCAGAAATGAAAAAAGAACCATTCACTGTGCAGTAAGCTGTTCTGCTATGATTATGATATGTCACTAACTCTGTAGCTGATTACACACCACATGTGTTTGCAGACTCTGCAAGGGAGGCGCTGGCACAGCTGGATGTTGCAGATGTACTGATATTTCAGCTGAAACAGGCCCCTGATGCTGAACGCCGACATGTCATTTTGGAAATACTGGGCTCTCTGGGAGAGAGCGGTAAGGGCATGTTTTTAATCGATCGGTGAACCTCTGCCCATCTTTACTCCTGAGAAACTTTCTTTTTAGTACAGTTTACTTTTCGAACCTTTTGTTGCTCCACTTCCAACTTATTTGAAACATGCTGCTTTCATCCAATTCACAATGAGCTAATACGTTTCATGAGCTACTAAAATATTAAATCAGTGTTCTGTGTTTTAATGTCAGTTTAAATGCGTCTACGACATTTGCAGATCCCTTGTATTTGGTTTTCCTCTACTTTTTACGCAGAGCCCCAGCTTTTCTGGAGTTGGGGTTGTAGAAAGCTTGAGGGAGATGGAGAGCAGCCTTGGCATGTGCTTATTGTTTTCAATTTATTGTGAAATACATTGCCTTGACTTGAACTAAGAAAATGTGTTTCCTATTATGAAAGCACTCAAAGACTTTTACCACATGTGCTGCTCAGTAACAAAATAAAGTCCAAACATTAGTTTTCTTCATGCATATGTTCATGATTAATGGAGACAGTAGTAAAACTTGTTGGGTTGTCGTCCTGAGGCAACTGTTGTTGTGATCCGGTGCTATATGAGTAAATTGAAATGAATTGTTCTGTGCCACCAGATACTCTGAAACTACAGTTTGCAGAGTCAGGAGTCCCAGAAGCTTTATCCGAGATGATTCGGAGTCTGCAGGGAGGGTCTGACCCACATGACCTCTGCAGCATCAAGATTGCCTCCAACCTAATGGTGTCCCTGCTTTTAGGGGGTACGTAATGCATAGCAACAACATTGTCTTAGTGTAGGTTTGAAAGGAAGAAGTGGTCAGATGACAAACAGAGGAAGACAAAGTGCTGAAATTGCACTGCGCTGGGATCCACTCACCAAGACGCTCGCCTAATGCAGAGCTCCTGAGCAAAACCTCTGTTCCCCCTGGCTTTGCCTCTCATTGGGCATCTACGGTCTGTAAGTAGGTTTCCATAGTGTTGAGAGGTTTCTTTTTATTTCAATGACACCTAAGAGTGGCATTGCTAAACAGGGCATAAGCTATGCAAGCATGGTGACAGAGACCACGCTGAAAGTTCTAACAGCCTGGCGTATTGCATCGAATGCTGTTGTTGAACTTTGTCCCAACTCAGTAGTGTGCTTAAACAACTGCAGGAGGACGTCTGTGCTGTGAAAACGTCACAAGTTAACACAGATATTGCCGACAGAAATGAGAGACTGGAAGAGGCAGATCGTCGCATTATGAACAGCTGGCTAGAAGCTAAAGACATCAAAGAGGCGTGACCAGAAAGAAAGAGCAGCAGTGTCTTAATCTGTGATTGTTAGAGTGAAGTAACGTGTAGAAGGTGCCAAACTGTACAGACCATATCAAACCTCTGATAGCACAGGTGGTAAGCGTGTACATACAGGTCCAAAAGTATTTGGACGGAGACAACGTTTTTCTCAATGTTGTTCTGCACGTTATCACAGTGAAACGAAACGACTCAGATGTAGCTGAAGTGCAGAATTTCAGCTTTAATTCAGTTGAACAAAAAGCATTTTTGACACAATCCCTTTATTTCAGGGGCTCAAAAGTAATTGGTCAAATTAAATAGCTGAAAATAAAAAAATCGTTTCTTTTTTTTTTGTGTGTCCCGTTTGGATCTTTAGCATCAGAATTGTTGTCTTAAGGCCAAGAAAGATGCCAAGCGGATTTATTTTACCAAGTGGATCATCATGGCCTTGCCATATTGGTCCATTTGATTGACCTTTATTATAATTATGAATTTATTTTATTTTCAGTTGCTACAAACGGGACAGACATGACTGGGGGATAGGACAGGGAGAAAGAATGAAAGAAAGAGGGAGAGAAAGAAAACCAAAGGGGAGAAGAGACGGTGAGAAGGGGGGGAAGAAAGAAAAAAACAAACAAACAAACAAAAAAACAAAACACCTGGGTCACCTGTATGGAGAAAAAAAACAGAAGAGAAAGCAAACAACAAAGAGCAACATAATAAAAAAAACGGCACCATCACAATAAACTAGCTAGCAGTAGATATCAGTAGATACTAAATAATAAACGATATTGTGCAGCACGCAAGATAGACACCACACAATGTGCTTTGAGGCAGCAGCAAAGAAAGCTGTAGTCCGCGTCTGTGCATACCTGTGTGGATCAGCATGCTTGCATTCCAAAGGTTTCTCCATGTAACGATCTGCTAGAGGGTGTGGGGGGCCACAGCCCCGTCCTCCAGGGTATGAAGCAGGTATGGAGGAGATCAAAACTCCAGACATCCAGAGGCCCCCAGAACACAAGAGACCAAGGAAGACCAACAGAGGGGCAGCCGCGCCACTGTCCCAGAAAGAGCTGAGGAGAGTCCCAGATGAGGGCTCACTCAGCAGCCGCGGAACAGAAGCCAGGGGGAGTTGCGGTGACGCGCCCGTGAGCTCCGCCGGCAGCCAGCTGTGCCTGAGTGACAGAGCCCCAGGCCGAGAGGCCGGGGGCACCCCACCTCCGAAGTGGCCCGAGCGAGCCCCAGGCTCCAGGCCCCGATAAGCGGCCGCCAAGGAGTGAGCCGGTGTGTACCCGGACGCCCACCCCCAGACACAAGGAACCACCAACGCACCGACACCAGAGGGAGTCCGCCACCGGCAGGGGAAGTGGTGGTGGGTGGAGATAGCCCTCCAAACCTTGGAGGGCCTGAGATGTCCTTAGAGAGGTGGCGTCTGATACCCAACCTGACATATAGACACAGACATACAGGCACACACAGACACAAACATCCATTCCCACCCTCATGCTCTCAAAAAAATCGTTTCTAATGCTTGATTAAAACCCGTTTGCTGGCAGTGGCAGCCTGCAGCCTTGAACTCATGGACATCACCGGCTTTCCTCCTTTTGAATGCGCCTCCAGGACTTTACTGCAGCGACGTTCAGTTGCTGTTTCTTTGTGGAATCGTCACCATGGACATGATTCTGCGATCATCCACCACTGTTGTCTTCTTTGGACCTGCAGGTGTTTTTGCGTCGTTGTGTTCACCTGTGATTTCTTTCTACCAAACTGTAGGTTTTGCCAATATTGTACCAGTTTCTCAGGTGTTTGTTTTCTGTTTTCGCAGTTTAAGGAGGCTTGTTTCACCTGCATGGAGAGCTCCTCTAACTGCATGTTGTCTGTTCGTAGCAAAATCTTCCAAATGCAAACACCACCTCAAGTCAACTCCAAACCTGCTTAGTTGATAATGAAACAACAAAGGAAATGTCCACACATGGCATTGAAATAGGCTTTGACTCAAGTGTCCCATTGTTTTTGGTTATTTGCCAAAGTGTGGCAAATGTTAAAGAGCTGAAATTCTAAAGAGTTCATCCAATTTAAAGGCTGATACCTTCAAATAAAAGCTGAGAGTCTTCACAACAAGAATATGTTTAGGTAAACAGGGAAAAACAAACTTGTGTCAGTGTCCAAATATATATATAGACCTAACTCTAGATCACTGATGCCTATTCTGGATAATGATCATCAGCTGAGACCTCTCTGTAAATGATCCAGACACTTTTCTTTCGTTTGGCACCGACGTCTTTGCAGCTGACTCCTCACTGCTGTCTCAGGTCACTAAAAAGGGAAGGAGACCTCACTAGAACCACATCTCCACCTGCTCCATCACCCTCCCTGCCGCTGCCCCTTGAGCCAAAGACCACACCACTGCCACACTATCATTGGAATATTCCAGACATTCCTGGAATGTGAGCGAGTGATGATGCAGTGAAGGAGAAGCATAAAACAGAGGTGCAGGGCATGGAAAAAGAATGTGAGATTATTAAAGCACGTAGAAAGTTGCAGACAAAGAATATTTGGCTCACGCTGACCTTCCCTGCCATGCTGTGACTCCGTTCTTGTAGTTAGAAGATGAGGTTTGATGACCACATAGCACTGGATTTCATCAACAGAGAGGCTCTTTCACAGTGAGGGGGTGTGTTGTTTGTTGGTGGGTTTGACAGGTTGTTTACTCAAGGGGAGGGGTATTTTGGTATTTTGTGGTTACTTCTGAAAACGTTTGTTCCTGGGCAAAAGTCAGAGGTATGTTAAAGAGTGGAAGCACAAAAGAAAGGATACCATATGAACATATATTATCCTGTATAAATAATATAGGGACAGAGTAATTTCATGGCATAGCAGGGGTGCTAATAATTCCATTAAACTTAAGAAATGTTTGCTTTATCTCAAATCACATTGGGCAGATGCAGCATTTATACAAGAAACATCTATGATTGGTTCAGAAACAGCTACATTTAGCAAGTATTTAGTGGCTCATTTAATAGTAAAAAACGGGGAGTGCCAAAATTGGATTTTGTTTCACTCAAAGAGCACGGAGGTAGAACATATGTCTGATCATCTGGCTAAAACTGATTACAGGCACACTTGAATCACTGGTGACGAGGACTAATAACTGTCAGGGAAAGATGCATTTTTCTCTCCGATTGTCCAGTAAATACGTTCATTGTGTCGAGTTACAAAACAAAAATTAGTAAATAAAAGAAACGCACTGCACTTGTCACTGAATGTGTTGTGACCAACCTAATATGTAATCTCTGGTGTTGGTGCACTAGTGTATTGATTTACCTAATGAAGCAATAGTAATGTCACTGCTGCATGTGAATCTAAATCATGTGATTTTGTCACGTTGCTTTTTCAGTTATTTTCAAAAGACTGTTTGTGTGTCAGATGAGTCCATGCAGAAGTGTTTTGGTGAAGGATCAGGTCTGGTGTACCAGGATGTTCTGTCATGGCTCCAGAGCTCCAACACCCAACTGCAGCTATCGGGAGCGCTGGCCATCGCCAACTTCGCCAGGAATGGTGAGATGTTTGTCAAAAGGACACACTACATGGTCTTTTTGACTGTTTTCGACTGAGTCTGGAGAGACAGTTCCACTCTTTACAGCTCTCTAAACTTTTTTTAAGATAACTTAAGATTTATTTTTCTTGGTTTTCACCCATTTTTTTTCCCGGGTGAAACATCTCAAAAACCCACTTTCTTCTACTTCCTCAGCAGAAAGGTTCCATCAGACTATCTGTCCAGACAGTTTACAGTTTATACATTAAATTCGAAATGGACATTTTTTTAAATCTGATGTTTTAAACAGATCAAAACTGGTACAAGATCTTCTAAATAGTGTAATGTAACACGATATAGTCATTCTCATTCATTAACAGTTTCTTTAACATACTGTTTTTTGTGTTCAGTGGTATTTAGTGTTATCACGTGATGTTTTTCTGGGGTGAAATGCTCGTAGAGCAGCGGTCCCTAACCTTTTTTGCGCCACGGACCGGTTTATGTCCGACAATATTTTCACAAACCAGCTTTTAAGGTGTCGCAAATAAATGCAACAAAATAAAACCAGTACCGGTACCAAAAGAAAGAAAATGTATTTATAACACACGGGAAAAGACCCAGGGAAACCACCAATCTCACACCTGAGCCCCAACTCTCGCGGCCCAGAACCACACAGCTCCAGTCTCTGTCCCGGGAGTTGGGGACCGCTGTTGTAGAGCACACATCTCTAATCACCCCAAAAACAACAATTGGCTGCACAAGTTGGAATTTACTTTGAATTTTTTTAATCCACGTGGAGTCAAAGTATACTAAAATACTCAATTATACCCTAATATTTGGTTTTATATCCCTTTACATATTGTACCTCGGCCAGATGCTTTTGGTAGCCATCGACAAGCTTCTGGCATAATGCTGGATGGATATTTGACCAATCGTCTTGGCAGAATTGATAGTTTACTCAAATTGGTTGGTTTCCTTGGATGAATCCAGATTTGAAATGTATTCCACAAATTTTCAACAAGTCTGAGTTTGGGGGCTGTTAGCCTGCTTTATCTTTTCCTAATCCAGTCGTGTTATGTGTTTGGGATCATTGTCCCTTTGGAACACCCGGCTGTGTCCAACTTTGTCTTGCTGCTGATCTGAGATGAAGTTACAGAATTGGAGGTAGTCCTCTTTCTTCATTATTCCATCCAGCTTGTACCACTACCACTGGCAGCAAAACAGCCCAAGACCATAACGCTGCCAGCACCATGGTGGATTGCTGGTACTGTGTTCTTGGGTTTTGTTGATCTGTGGAACCAGCACCCCACTACAGGAAGTCTGGATCAGCGCTCTGTTTAAAAAGTCCAGTCTCTGATCCTATGAGCATTACCCAGCAGGCAGTGCAGAGCTTGGATGGAGCCGGTGAGTGAGGACGCTGTTCTAACTGCCTTTAGCCTCCAGGGGAAAAAAAGCAAGACCCGAGTAGCTTTGCAGAGCCACTCCTACCAGCCATACCCGCTGCGGCAGCGCTTTTGGAAGAGGACGAGGTTTAAATCACTGGCTTGGAAAGCTGCCCAAAGATCTGTTTCTTTAAAATGGGCAAAACACTATGTGTATAAAGGCTAATTTACACTACTGCTGTGCAGAAATGATAAGAGTTATGTGTGGAGGAGTAAAGCTGAGCTTTCCAAACCGTGAAGAAAGGTGGGATTGAAGTGCCCCCAGCTTACCTCTCATTACATCTGAGCGTGGGTGAAAGGTTTTATGTTTACAGTGATGCAAAGTGCTGTAACAGAGTTTATCTTTATGCGCGTTTGCAAAAAGTAAATCATATTAATTTTGATTAATATGATTTGTCCAGTAATGTCCAGACATGGGCCCATCCTCCCGTAGGCCCACCACCCGCAGGAGGCGCCATAGGGGTCGGGTGCATTGTG